CAGAGGTTCCTTACAATAGCCCTCACAAAGACCCTTGAAATGAGTCTAAACTTGTTTATGAAATGTTCATGGTATTAAGAAAAACTGTCCCTTATCACCCCATTTGATGGTAGCTTTGAAATTCCATAATTTTGATTAATTGGAAATTTCAAAGCTTGAAAGCAAGATAGGAAAATTCCTACTTGTTCCATAAATTTTTCTGCTCCTAAGTGACATATTTTTGATAATGCTGAAATTTTGTTCTTTCTTCTCCAAGAGCGCAAAGAAAGCTCTAGTTGTGGCTTGAATAGTGGATATAGTCCACCTTTGCTCCAAAGTTGTGCATTTTAGTTCAATTGCAATCATTGCTGCATGCAAATGTAAGTTGTTGAAAAGGAATTTGTAATTCTACAGTTTAGCACTATAGGTATGTGCTCTTGCCTAAGATATTTCTGTTAAAATTCTTATTGTTTTAATACTTTTGTGTAGCTTACTAACATCAATCAAACTACAATATTTCAACAAGAACAAAAGGAATGGGTTAAGAAGTGATTGTTTGCCTTTAAGGTGAAGTAAAATTTAATTTTTATTGTTGGTTCAGAATAATTCATTATTTGATGAAAAGTATCATTGTTCGAATGTTGGTTTCCAAGGCTTCAAAACTTGATTAACAGTTTCAAAACAAAACTCAGTAATTTTTCTTCTCAGCTGAAAATTCCACAAACTCATGATGCCAAAAATCCAGTCAGTGCTCTTGGACCAGAACTTTTATACCTGGGCTAAGGTATACGGTACCTACCTACAATCATGGAGACTCAAATTGTGCCATCCATTATTCTAGCCATCTTATTACACAGCCTCAACATGCATCCAATATATCCATGCACAATATTGCTTCAAGCGTTTTAATTTGGTTAAATGAGTTAAAATAGAAGGAAATAAACAAATGAATGCCAACAATTGGAAGTATTTATATGAAGGTACCTGTACTGTCATTTATATTTGAGGATGGTACCTTCTTTCAATAAAATTAATTTTAAACCAATGGAAGTCTAGAATGATAGCATTGCTCTTTTAAGATGTTTCCAAAAAGAATTTTATGCTCATTGGAGCTACCTATATTTTCAATATATGACTATATTCTGTGTGGCTCACTGATGAAGAAGTCAGGCCTGAGGTCACTGTGCTGACCAATCCCATTTTATAGTAAACATCAAACTATTACTTGAGCATACCTACTGCATACTATGCCCTATCTCTTCTTTATATCTCTGTACTTTTGGCAGATGGCAACTTGGTGGTCGGAACACGTCAGGGCCACCTGCTCATGTACAGTGTTGGAGAGTCTGGAGCTCAGGCCGATGTCAAGTTGCTGCGCTCCAACAAAAACTTTTCTAAGAAACCCATCACACAAGTGGCCGTGGTGCCACATTATCAGATCCTCATCTCCCTCTCTGGTGAGTTATATATGTTGGTATAGGTACCACTTCATCACATCCTCTTCTCCCTCTCTGGTGAGGTATCTTACAAGTACTATATATACCTATATGTTGCTATACCACATCATCACATATCATCTTCCTCTGTGATGAGTCCCCTCATTTTATTATTTAATTCTTGATATATTTTTCTTCTAATTTTCAATTTGACCAAATATTTTGGGTTTTCAGTAATGCACACATTTGCAACTTCAATTTTTGCTTGGTGGTGTGTGATGTAAAAATACCTCTATGACTCTTTAACTGAAGAGAATCCTATCAAAAACATCTGAATTTACACAAATTATTTATCCTAATCATAGCGGGATGCAATTATTTGCTTGAATTTGTTCATATCCATAACCCATGAGAGCCAGTTATGACAGCATGCATATTTTATAGTACAAAAGGATAAATTGATGCTTGTGATTTAAGTGATATGTATTTTTCAGACAGCATCATCAGTATCCACGACTTGACAGTGTACAACTTCCCTTTACTCTCCACCATGAACAATACCAAAGGTGCCTCTCTTTTTGATCTGGAAATAAAGGTGGGAATCAATTTTTTGTGTCTTTGATGTTTGATTTATTAGTGATTTTATCATGATAATATCTTATGTTTACTGCATCTTTGTGATTTTATTTTGATGCATTTTTGAAAATTCTTGCCACCATATTTGTCACCAATTTACTGTGTCTGTGATGTTGTATTTTTTAGTGCTATTTTCATGATAATATTTTATGCTCTTATAATATCTTATGCTTATTTCGAAAATGATTGTCACCACTCATCACCACGGTAGTCTAACTCCTGACTGGCCGCCACAGCACCACGTAAGCCTGACGGGCGACGTGGCGGTGACAGTGCGGCTGGCGGTGGCGGTGCGGCGGCGGGTGCAGCTCTACTACTGGAAGGCGCGCCACTTCCACGCCCTCCTGGACGACGTCCAGCTCACAGACGCGCCCCAGCACCTGCGCTGGTGGGGCGGAGGGCTGGTGCTGGACCAGGGGCTGGTCTACTGCAGGATACTGCTGGACGAGGTACGGTCTACTGCACTGCTGGACGAGGTACGGTCTACTGCACTGCTGGACGAGGTACGGTCTACTGCACTGCTGGACGAGGTACGGTCTACTGCACTGCTGGACGAGGTACGGTCTACTGCACTGCTGGACGAGGTACGGTCTACTGCACTGCTGGACGAGGTACGGTCTACTGCACTGCTGGACGAGGTACGGTCTACTGCACTGCTGGACGAGGTACGGTCTACTGCANGTGCTGACGGTGGTGGTGTGGTGGTGCTGACGGTGGTGGTGTGGTGGTGCTGACGGTGGTGGTGTGGTGGTGCTGACGGTGGTGGTGTGGTGGTGCTGACGGTGGTGGTGTGGTGGTGCTGACGGTGGTGGTGTGGTGGTGCTGACGGTGGTGTGGTGGTGCTGACGGGGGTGTGGTGGTGCTGACGGTGGTGTGGTGGTGCTGACGGTGGTGTGGTGGTGCTGACGGTGGTGGTGTGGTGGTGCTGACGGTGGTGGTGTGGTGGTGCTGACGGGGGTGTGGTGGTGCTGACGGGGGTGTGGTGGTGCTGACGGTGGTGTGGTGGTGCTGACGGTGGTGGTGTGGTGGTGCAGAGGCGGACCATCAGGGAGTTCCCGCAGCCCTTTAATCTCATTTTCTTGCCCCGAGTAGAAAGAGTGGCGAAATGCTTTTTAAACTGTGCTCGTAGCAGTACGAACACGCCTTAATCGTAACCAATAAGAACATTATAATTTTTCAGTGGTCTCACAGTGGTCCTGATTTTTTTGACTGGGCATATTTGTGTTTCTCCTGAATGGCAGCCACCGATCGCGCCCCCGCTGCCTGTTGCTCAGACCCGTGTGATTCCTACAGCTGTCGTTCAACTGCCTCATTTAGAGCCTCTACCTTTCCTTATCTGTGGAGGCAGCTTTTATCTCTTTGTTCAAACTCGTTCGTTTTCCCATGAGGATTTGTATGTCCCGCGGAATTATGCGTCATTTTTGGGTCGTTCATCAGGGGTTTGTTATGTGCGCTCACTTGCAATAATACTTTGCATAGCTTCTTGTACATTTCTTCGGCATTTATCTCCTGGAGTTCCACTTACACTCTAGTCGAATTTGATGAGTTCCCAATATTCTGCCCGTACATTCTTTGACGGTGAAAATTTAGCCCAGCCAAGCCCTGCCTAGGCGCAGGTGTTGGCCGGTGGCAGGTCCCAATTGTCGCCTCGACCACAACTAGTCTGTGGTCTGACAGTGTGGTCTCCTCAACATGTGTGACGTGTTGTGTGGTCTGACAGTGTGGTCTCCTCAACATGTGTGACGTGTTGTGTGGTCTGACAATGTGGTCTCCTCAACATGTGTGACGTGTTGTGTGGTCTGACAGTGTGGTCTCCTCAACATGTGTGACGTGCTGTGTGGTCTGACAGTGTGGTCTCTACTAGCCCCCTCTGTCCCCCGGCAGTGTACCAGCCTCCCCTCTACCCCCTCTGTACCCCTGCAGTGTACCAGCCCCCCCTCTACCCCCTCTGTACCCCTGCAGTGTACCAGCCTCCCCTCTGTACCCCTGCAGTGTACCAGCCCCCCCTCTGTACCCCTGCAGTGTACCAGCCTCCCCTCTGTACCCCTGCAGTGTACCAGCCTCCCCTCTNTCTTCTCAACATGTGTGACGTGCTGTGTGGTCTGACAGTGTGGTCTTCTCAACATGTGTGACGTGCTGTGTGGTCTGACAGTGTGGTCTCCTCAACATGTGTGACGTGCTGTGTGATCTGACAGTGTGGTCTCCTCAACATGTGTGACGTGCTGTGTGGTCTGACAGTGTGGTCTTCTCAACATGTGTGACGTGCTGTGTGGTCTGACAGTGTGGTCTGCTCAACATGTGTGACGTGCTGTGTGATCTGACAGTGTGGTCTCCTCAACATGTGTGACATGCTGTGTGGTCTGACAGTGTGGTCCAGCCTCCATGTGTGACAGTGTCCAGCCTCCTCTCTGTACCCCTGCAGTGTACCAGCCTCCCCTCTAACCCCTCTGTACCCCTGCAGTGTACCAGCCTCCCCTCTAACCCCTCTGTACCCCTGCAGTGTACCAGCCTCCCCTCTGTACCCCTGCAGTGTACCAGCCTCCCCTGTGCCTGGGTGTGGTGGGGGGCAGGGCCGTGGAGGTGGTCAGCGCAGAGGGCAGCGTCCTGCTGCAGACGCTGACCCTCCCCAAGCCGCGGCTCCTCGTGGCTGACGTCGTCTCCAGCGGCGTCAGCAGGTCAGCTGATATACCTGCTGGTGATGTAGGCCTATATATAGGCCTTCTATAGTCCTATGCTAGACCTCCTATAGTCTTATACCAGGCCTCCTATAGTCCTATACTACGCCTCCTATAGTCCTATACAAGGCCTCCTATAGTCCTATACTAGACCTCCTATAGTCCTATACTAGGCCTCCTATAGTCCTATTACTCCTATACTAGGCCTCCTATAGTCCTATACTAGGCCTCCTATAGTCCTATACTAGGCCTCCTATAGTCCTATACTATGCCTCCTATAGTCCTATACTAGTCCTACATGTCCCAGGACTGGGGGCCGACACCGCGCGTTCTGCGCGTCGCTGTCGCACGTGTGGTGCCTGCGCGGCCTCTCCCCCGCCGCGCAGATCCATAAAGGCTTTATCTATAAATGTAGCGGTAGCGCTGTAGCGGCAAAACCTCGTATCGATACCTAAATATGTAGCGGGCGCTACCGCTACCGCTACATTGCCTTAAATGTAGAGCCGCTACCGCTACCGCTACATGTAGCGCGCTACTGCCCACCTCTGTCTATACTAAAATACGGTATAATACTATCTCTCATATAAATATATTAGTTTCATTTATTATCTGACACGACTCGCAGGTGACGTCACATAAATGTGATATTTTTTCATTAATTTATTCGAAAATACATATAGAAAAGGTGTTCTGATTTTTCATGAATCACGTATGACATTACATTCTAGATCGTAGAGACGTATTTAAATTTCCAGGAAGGCTTGAGAGTGTCTTTATGAAGGAGAGCTTATGTCTATCAGGTGTTAAATGTAAACAAACCCAGTCACTCCTGTGGAAAACGCCCAAATAGTCATGTGTGTGTGTCTGATATCGGCGTCCTACCATTAGAGTTAAGAGTTTAGACATGAGTGGTCTCTGAGTGTTTTTATAAAATAGTTTTTAATACCAAAAATGCACGAAGCATACGAAATTGTCCCTCTTCTAGAACGATTACCATTAGACATAGAATCTCTAGCTGCATACGGTAAGTTTTTAAATTAAAAGAATATGCTGTTTATTTCCCGCTGTAATTAGTAAACTGCTGAATCAGTGAATGCTGATCCTGCATAATATGACGAGTAACAAAATCATTAACTATGCAATAAATTTACCTACAATTTATTTTTCAGAATTTTCCTATAAAACTAATTTGTTTTTATTTAGTTTAATGCTAGAATCTTCTGCCTAGTTTGCCAGTTAAGAAGCCTAAAAATTCAAGTATTTCAGGGGCATCTTGAATTTCAGGTCCAATCTTACAATTTTATTAGCTATCACATGTTAAATCATTCGTTTAGCAGAAATTTTGCAGCCAAGCCTTGTGGAAAAATAGGATATCAAATGAACTAGTACATCTGTTTACAAACTCTGCAGGATGTTTAGGCTGATGAAAATTGACACTAATTCTGCCAGAAGCCTAAAATAATAATTTAATTTTAACTGAACTCCATAGTGTGATCGTGAAACAAAATCAGCAAAGTTCCAAACAGGATTAGCAATGAGTGACAAGTGTCAGCTGAATGCCAGACCATGGTGGCAGGAAATTATTGTGAGTACTTATCGGTCCACTGCCGTGCGTTGGTCTTAACCCTTCGCAAGGCCCCATACCCTTGGCCCTTGGGCCCCTCTTCCACACTCAGGATGATGTATGTTTTCGGTGAATTTTCCCGCGCATTTTCACTTTTTTTAAGCTATTGCTGTGCACAGTTGGCGCAATGTAATGAAAATTGATTCTCTTCGCGCAATCCCGGCCATCAATTCTACGTCGCGCTGCCGCGCACGAGCAGTTTGTGGAGGAACAGACGTAATACTCACATTACTCAGTACAGTATGCCTTTAATTATCTTTCAATAATATATGATTTTTCTTGATACGGAAATTTGGTGAATGAGAAATCTAGAACTTTATTTTAGAAGAAATTTTCTCCAAAGTCATATGGCAACACTGAACACCGTCT